AGATATGCTGTTGGCAGCTGAAGCCACCACCAGCGCTTGGTGGCATTCCCATACCGATCTGGACATTATCTTCCGATTATGCAAGATCAGTATTGATTGCCTACTATCTATGTAGATTCTAATACTTTTGCCTGTTATCTGCCTACGGGCAATTTCTTTAGCAGCTATGATTATACCTGCCAGTTTCGCTTGTATCACGGTGGCACGTACATCCATAGTCTACTGATATCGGATGTGTAGGGATCTAGAATAGATTCCACACAGTGTACCTTTTGTACCTCTTTTTTGATCCGTCAGTGAAGATGTTAATTACACCCTCACTGGCGGTTTCCTCCTCGTTTTTGTTGAGACTGTGAAGGGTCTGTCAAACACAAGCTGAGGAGAAATGCTGTCAGTGTCTGCCTGCAAAAGAGGGGGGTTTTCCTGATGGCCTCATTCCACAGATGACACCTGACCTCTCCGCATCCTACATCTGGTTTAACATCAAATCAACGTTCTTGAAGCTCAGCATAGTTGTCAAAGCCACATCCTTTAGATAAATATCTAAGGGTGGGAGACATCACCTCCATCGCTAACATCGGTGTGCGGTACAAGCTATTCTTTGCATCTGACTGAGCTTCTGTTTAGCTGTTGGACTTTTGGCCACCAGACAACAGCTCCGTAAGTCAACATTGGCCTCGCTATGGCAGTGTATATCCGCATGATTACCTTTGGTTTCATCCCCCAGGTTTTATCAACGGCTCTGCAACACTGCTCATAGGATATGTACGCCTTTTTTATTCTTCTCTCCAAGTGAAGATGTTAGCTTTGCATCGAGTGCGACTCCAAGATACTTCACATCCGTTGCAAAGCTTAGCGTGATGTTTAGAATAGTCGGTGCCTTTATTGGCCCCAATTTCCTCTTCCTCGTAAAGAGGACCATCTCCGTCTTCCTGGGGTTGACAGACAAGGTCCTCGCACCATTTTTCAACGGTCCAATTATAAAAAAAATACGTCTACCCTTATGTCCTTTTCTTTACTTGTGATAATTACACTGTAGTAAAAATGTTATTTGGAACAAAAAATTCCTATTCATTTCTGTTGTGAAACGAATACCTTTTGAAATATTTTAAAATAATTCAACCGTGTAATAAGCTTATCTTAAATAATAGTTATTTATCCAACACTTGCATATAACGATACTGTAATTTCTTTGATTTTAAAGGAATAATGTGGCCTATAACTCACGAGTGAGTTATAAGTCATAAGTCACTAGTGAGTTATGAAACCTTTGGTTACAGACACAATTTAGGTTGACACTCGCATCCTCAAACGCCACGGTGGATGGAAGTCATCTACAGTGGCAGAAGGTTATACAGGGTCGGAAAGTCCCCATGGTTCATCGGCCGTTACGTGAGAGCGATAAAGAAAGTCATAGAAATCCGTGCGATAGAGAAAGATGGCTATAATGAAGGCGTCTAATAGTCACCGCCCATTTCGCTCTTCCACAAATAAGATCCACTTCTTATTTGTGGAAGGGCGAAATGGGCGGTGACTATTAGATGCTTTCATTATAGCCATCTTTCTCTATCGCACGGATTTCTATGACTTTCTTTATCGCTCTCACGTAACGACCGATGAACCATGGAGACTTTTCGATCCTGTATAGAAGAGTCAATTTCCGCAAATTTCATATTGTTAAAGAGGTACAAGTGTTGCAGACTCCTGAAGCAAGCACCAGCAAAGGGGCAACCTGTTGTAAAATTGTCACAATCACAAAATGATTCCAATAATCCTTTGGTATCAAATTACGGCTTTACCATAAATGTTAATGTTAATATTAATAAGTAGGTAGATTGTAAGTTTGTGGCATTTTATGTTATTTGTTGACTTATTACTTTTTCAAATTGGTTTTCTAATAAAAACAAGGAAAATAAACCAAACATTTGTCTTTTTATGATTTCTATAAGTCACTAGTGGGTTATAAGTCATAACTTAATAGTGACTTATGACTTATAACTATAGTCTGTTTAGAAATGAAAGAGAGTAATAAAAGCTTATTATGTATGCAAATCATAAATAAATGTAGTACTGGTGCTTATATTCAATATTTTTATATTATGTATTATCGGTATAGATGAGGAGTACTTTTAAAAAAACTTTGTGTGACCGGGTTATACTAAATTGTAGCAGGTAGCTAAAATTTAATCCCCGACAATCCGTCTTTGTCTATGCCGCTTCAATTTCTCGGTCCATTTCTCTTATAAGTAAACAATATAAAATCAGCATTTCATAACATGAGGCTACTTTAAGCATCATAACCGGGTTAAGAGGGTTTTTAGTAATTCAAATAAAATTATTCAATATTATTATCAAAATATTTATTTAAATTTAATGAATAGACTTTTATTCCACACAAAAATATATGTATTTTGAATATTCAAATTATGTTGAGTAAATGTAGTGTTGTATAAATGTACAATAAAGAAAATAAAAAAGTAGGTATATTAAAATTCATCCTCTGAATATTCTGATGAATTATCTTCGTCTCCTAGATTGATAACGATAGGTTCCACAGTAACATCAATTAAATTATCGAGTTCCCACATTTTCTCCTCTTCTTTTTGTACATGATGTATACATATTTGCCAGTTATCTGCAGTTACTCGTTCCAAGGAATTTTTTAACAAAATTTTCACGTCACTTAATTTAAACGTCGTATTATTTCGCGCTACATCTCCTTTTACCTGCGCCCAGACTAATTCGATTGGGTTAAGTTCACAGTGATAAGGTGGTAACCGTAGTACCGTTATTTGGCGATTTGTTGCCATTTCATCGATAACATATTTTTTCTGATCTTTATTAAGATTGACAAGTGTCAAAAGTTCCTTTTTCACCATATTTGTTTCAAAATAAATGTTTTTTCCGAATAACCATTGAATTATATCGGCTTTCCTCCAAGCAGTCGTAGGCGTCCGCTCGGTCTGCCGTGAATGGTAACTGGCATTATCCATGACAATTACAGACCCCGGAGGAATAAGATCCAACATCTGTGTAAAATACTCTTCGAAAACATCTGCGTTCATGACTTCGTGATAGTCACCTGTATTTTTAGATTCAAATAAAAGTAAACCGCCATCTACAAAACCACTGACACTACCTATATGTGTCACTATTAATCTTCGCCCTTTACCTGAAGGTGCCTTGAACCCTGTTGCAAGTCCATCCAAAAATGCTTGTCGAAAACTTTTTAGATTTTTATCTTGCCATACTTTTGTTACGGTATATCCCTCGTTGACCCAAGTTTCGTCTAGATAATAAATATTCCTCCCTTCGTCACGGAATTTTCTAATTGATCTTAAGTAGGATCTTCGCCAACAAATAATTTCATCTTTATCGATAAGAACTGGCTTCCTGTTTGCTTTTCCCAGCAAAAATTCAACTCTCCTAAGTCGGCCCATAATTTGCTTCTACTGATTTTTGGCAAATCGTTGTCCTCTGAAAGTTCACTTAAAATTTTGTTTAGCGTTGGTATTTCTTTTTTAAAATAAAATGAGTGTACTTTTCTGCGAATGACATTTCTGAAGAAATCATCTATAAACGACTTTTGACCTCCCTGTAGATGATTTTGGGGGATTTACAGTATCTTGTTCATTTTTTGTTTCCTTTAAAAGTCTGTAGATAGTCGATTTTCCAATCCCTGTCATTTTGGAACACTTTTCCACGATGTCGTCAACACTTTTGGTAGGATTTTGGTGTTTCAAATGCATTAAATACATTTAATATAATAATCTTCTCATTCTGAGACAGCGCACATCTTTTCACGCGTTTAGCAGGTACGTAATCTGATAAGCTCGACATTTTACCCAAACAATATTATATCCACTGGCACAATAGTCATTAAACACAAGTCGAATTTTACTCTACTGCACTAGCACGTCTTCGTATATTCAGCTCTAAGACTGGATTGATGTGTCACAATATACTGGCTCCTGCCCTATGATGTATCCAGTAAAATATACTAATGTACACCCATTACCTGTTAGCATTAGTGTTACCCGATAATTACCTGAAACGAAATATTACCACGCCCATGGCCGGTTCTTATCTCGGAGTTTTATTACTCTCTTTCATTTCCAAACAGACTATAACACTAGTGACTTATAGGCCACATTATTCCTTTAAAACCAAAGAAATTATAGTATCACAAGTGTTGGATAAAAAAATTAAAATATGAGCAATTAAAAACAATTAAAAATAAATATTTAAGTATCTATTAATATGTTTGCAATTTAACCTTCATCAAAAGTAAATTTACACCATTACAAATATGTATTTTTCTCCTAAACATTTTATTGCGACATTCAAGAATTTCCAAAGTAACAATTCAAAAACGTATGTAAAATTCGCATTTTTCACGAAATTCTTAAAGAAATATTCTCAAATCTTATAATTTTGAAATCTTAAACAAGGTTTTTAGATGAGATAATAATTACAATTATCGAAATAGATCTGTTACCAATCAAAAAGTTGCGTATTACAAAACATTAAGAAGCAAGTATTTTTTGTTTATCATAATAATCAACAGTTAAATGCTGCTACTGATAATCATTTTTCCTCTTCTGGGTATAAACAATTTTAGAAATCAAAATACTAATTCGTTACGCCCCAGCGTACACTTAAAGTATATTGACCTAAAAGGTATAGGCTCCAAGGCATTCTATAATTCCTTCGACTGCATAAAAAAAGCGACTGTGTTGAACAATCTCGATTTAATAGTTAGGAAACTTTACGCGTCCGTAACTCGATGATGAATGAATTCTAGAAACGCCTCCTGTAGAAGACCAAACCAGCACGTACTTATGTCAGGAATTAAAATAAAACCCTACTATTATCGACCGATAAATCCAGAAAAATTCCCAAGAATTTATATTGGCCCATAATTTTTTTATTACAAATTTCGAGATAAATCACCACCCGACGACTTAAATGGTTCAAAAACCAAAACCCCCCCTTAACTCGCTCACTAGATTCCACTCGGCGATTCAGCAGGTGTGCACGACGCCCAGAGTAACTCCAGTTCTCAGGCAGTGAAAAGCTCTAGTGTCACACCGAATCCTTAGCAAGGTTAATACTTGTGCAGAAGTCTACAAGAAGCGCGGTAAGTCGATTTTCAAAGTCGAATTAAAAGTCACCATTGTTAATTTTCCTTAATGCGTTTTAAATTTCAATTTATGAACGTTTCGTGAAAAAAATTATAATATAGAATTACGTTTTATAATGACATGAATTAAAAATTCAAATCGTGTTTAGTTTGTTGATATAAAATTATCTAGAGAGTAAGACGTTGATTGTAGCATAAATTGTTTGTTTTATGTTGTTGTTCAAATCAAAAAGTTTTAAGGAGTTAAAGTATACGATACGCAACAATAACGACAGTAGTTTATAAAACCAGGTTAATCACGGGTTATTTTCTATTTGTGCTCATCACAACTGGAACAATGTGCCATTTTCATTAAATCACTTACGCGAGTAAATTTACGCAACTTTTTCTTGTCCTCAAAGAAATTATGTCTTCTCTTCAGCCTTAATAAAATAATTACTAAATTTTAGAGACTGCAGATTTTTTTTACGGAATTATGAATTAGATAAGTACTTTAGTAATCATTTTTGTGAAGGAACATTCGATGTCAATTTTCTGAAATTCACAAATATGTAATCAATTTTTTATGACAATTAAATCTTTTTAATCGAAATAATAAAATATTTGTTTAATTACGAGGAGGTTATCAGTGGCGACGCTAGGGGGGGGGGCAGGGGTGGCCCAGGCCACCCCTAAAAATTTATCGGCCACCCCTAAATTACAAAAGTAACTAAAGATGTTAGCCACAGACGAAAATAAAAATATCAAATCAATGTTAGACCTATGTAAACTTTTACATAATTTTTATCCAGCTTTCAAAAATCTATTAACCTAAATTGTTCTTACATTGCCAGTTTCTACCGCATGCTGTGAAAGATCTTTTTCGAGCTTAAAAAGAATAAAAACCTACCTTGGGACAACGATGGTTAATGATAGGTTGTCAAATAAAAGTAAAATATGTACGTAAAAATTATAAAATAGAGTTAACCTTAGTGTTAATTCCATTTTATACATTTTAGTACCTGTTTCATGTCCTAAGCAGCCAAAGAACATGAACTGAAATAAATATATAAATAATATACTTATTTGGTATTTCAACTGAATTGTTTTTTACAAATGTAGAACCTATTCAAATTTAATAAATAATATATTGGTATTAGTAAAAGTCCCCATTGATTATTCTGTTTTTAAAAAGGTCTACTAAAAAAACTGCTACATATTCCCATTTTAAACTCCTACATTTTGATCAGATCTCCATTAATGAATACAACAATAATAGGTGTTATCACAATTTTCGATCTGACATTGATTTGGACAGCCTTATTTATTGTTTTGAGAGTAAGATGTGTTTTCATTCAAAACCGCCTACTCGAATGAATTTTAGTTTATTTTCATAAATCGTATAAATAGGACATATGTGTTGTCCTAATGGATTACCTGGTATTAAATCACTAAAGTTGATTGTTTCAAATTTAAATTTAATTAGTTGCGCGTATTTAAAAAGCATTTTATTTCGGGATATGCGATAAACAAGAGAATTTTAAAATCGTAACTTGAGATTTAATTATATTACTTTAGGTTTTGTGGATAATCAGGCCGAGTATGTATCCCATTTTATCATAATAACAGTTACGTTATTTCAGGGTTAAACGTTAAGGTTAACGTTAACTGTTATGATATAACGTGCATGTTATTGAGGAATTAAGACCATTTTTAGCAAATACTCATATTGCAATTTTGTTGTTTATTGAAGACGCTTTTGTGTCGGCATTTTTAATAATAATTATGCAAAGTTATTATAAACAAGAGACTTATAGACAAAAACACATACAACTGACAGATGTCTTTTAGGTTATGAAACATGAAACAAATGCAAACTCGTAAATAACGGGTAAGTACGACATAAAATAGTTTGTAACACGTTATCTTAAATTATAACAGAGTTTCTTAAAGGCAAGGAATTTGGTGTCGCTATAGTTTAACGTACGTGTTATTTGTCTAATGAAAATAAACGGCTTGATAAATTTACATTTACTTGCCGGTTTTATAAACGCACATCGAAGGTAAGTTGTAAAATTTAAGTAATTTGGGTAAGTATTTACCCTAAAATTATTGTTAGATTAAATCAAACGAAGAAGGATCTAACAAGGAAACTACCCCAACCCGAACCGATTTACAATATTTTTATATATGTTGTAGACTCGGTTGTAGAACATAAAAAATTAAATGACATATTTTTTTTTATCTGCGGAAAAACATATTTAGGGGGTGAAATACATCCTTAAAGTTCGCCCCCAAAACAGTTTTTTCTAAATATCTGGGGTTCTAATCAATATTTTGGAATGAAAAAAAATGGAAATTGCTTCTTATAAAAAAAACAAATGTTTCACATTAGATTCCGTGTTTGGAGGTTGTTACCCTTATTTTTTATTTCAGATAAACTATATTTTTCAAACATTTTTTATATATAAAAAAATTCATATTTGATAAAAAAAAATAAAAAATATGATTTACCTAAACAAATTGACAAAATTAAGTTCTCTTTTTGGGGGGGTGAACAACCCTCTAGTGTGCTAAAAATGTCTGTACGATTAGAATTAACATTGCAAAATAAAAAGTTTTTACTTTTTCTCTAATCATACGAATAATTTGTTCTATTAGCCGCAAACAGATTTAAACGAATGCAAATTACCCCTCATGTTCACCCCCAAAAACAGTATTTCTGTTACATCTCAATATTGTGAACTGAAATAAAATGAAAATTACTTCTTTTAAAACAATAAAATGTTTCACAAGTGATTCCGTGTTTAGGGGTTTTATTTCAGGAAAACTAAGTATATTTTCAAACATTTTTTATATATAAAAAATTTATATTGATTCAAAATATTAAAAATATGATTTATGTAAACAAATTGACAAAAATAATTTCTCATTTTAGGGGGCGAACAACCCCCTAGTAATCCCCTAGTGTGCGAAAAATGTCTTAACTTTTTCTCTAATCATACGAATAATTTTTTCTCTTGATCTAAAACGGATTTAAACAGATGCAAACTACCCCTGATGTTCACCCCCAAAAACAGTATAAATCCGTAATATCTCGGGTTCTAATAAATATTTTGGAATGAAACAAAATGGAAATTACCGAACCCGTTTTTGAGGGATGAACATCAGGGGTAGTTTGCATCAGTTTAAATCCGTTTTAGACCAATAAAAAAATTATTTGAGAAATATCTGTTTTTTTTTATAAGAAGTAATTTCCATTTCGTTTCATTCCAAAATATTGATTAGAACCGGAGATGTCACAGAAATACTGTTTTTGGGGGGTGAACATGAGGGGTAGTTTGCATCCGTTTAAATCCGTTTGTGGCTAATAGAACAAATCATTCGTATGATTAGAGAAAAGTAAAAACTTTTTATTTTGTAATGTTAATTCTAATCGTGTAGACATTTTTCGCTCACTAGGGGGGTTGTTCGAGAACTTAATTTTGCCAATTTGTTTACATAAGTTATATTTTTAATTTTTTTTAACAAGTATGAATTTTTTATATATAAAAAATGTTTGAAAAATATAGTTTTTTTGAAATAAAAAAAAGGGTAGCCACCCCCAAACACGAAATCACTAATGAAACATCTGTTTTTTTATAAGAAGTAATTTTGCATGTTGTTTTATTCCAAAATATTGATTAGAATCCCAGAGATTTAGAAAAAACTGTTTTTAGGGGCGAACTTTGGGAATGTATTTCACCAACATATTATTTAATAATAATAATGCAGAATTATTATAAATATCCGACTCAATAGACAAAAACACATACAACTAAAAGAGTTCTTTTAGGTTATGAAACATGAAACAAATACAACGTAGAGCGCAAATAGCAGGTACCTACGTACAACATAAAATAGCGGCCGTTTACGGCATGTTATTTACTTACATAACGTTTTAGCGTAAATGGGATACATACTCGGCCTGAAAAAGACTTTAAATTTAGAAACTGTAATGAAAATTTGAGATTACAACAATTTGTTAACAAATGTTTATTTAATTTTTAACCACAAAACTTGAATGTAGTTCTTATATATCATATTTCCATGTTTCACAATACCTAAATGTCATAGTGGTACGAGATATATTTATTAGCGCTTGTAAATTATAACAGACATAAAATAAACTTATATAACAAATTTCATTGCCAAACTTTGTTGTCACCAAGAAATTTTTGCCATGTAACTAACATTTATTGGAAATAATTTTACTTGCAATAAATGAATTTAAAACATGACATATTTCTATCGCGCATTAATTCCCTTGTAGTATTTTTCACGAATTGTAAAACATCTTGTATACGTTACCTGCTATTATAAAATCGCCGTGATAAATTAATTCGCAAATTATATACCAAATAGTTACTTTTCGAATAAAAAATTGTGCTAATCAAAATCAAACACTTCTCAAGGCTGTCATGTGGAATCGACACTGATTTTGAAATATTTTATTTATGACATTAGATTAAGTCGAAATTCTCATTAAGATGATATCCGTCGCAAATCATCTTTTTATATTTATATCAGAAATCGCTATTAGGTACAAAAATTTCAGACGTAATAACAATGGAAATAAAAAGAATTCTTTTCATTTTGGTTATACAGGGTACTCAGATTAAACGTAACTCGCATTATTTTCTTTACCTTCAAACATACATTACACAGGTCAACTTTTTATCTAGGCTTGTGCACAGGAATTGAAGATGGGATCCCAGGGTATTTGGGGTCGCTGATTACGATGAGCGGGTCGGTTAGGCTCCATCACGTCAAGTTCAAGGTCATTTGAAGGTCAAACGGTCAGAAAACCTTCAAAAAATCTGAAAAAATTCATGGACATGTTTTTGAGGTCGCTGAATCCGAATCCGGTGTTTATTTTTACTTTTTATGCATCCTCGAAGTCATCTCAAGGTCATTTGAGAGGTTTTTGAGACAAAAATGCTAAGTACCATCCGAAAAATCTGAACAAATTCATACAT